GGTAACACACTGTTCTAAAGCAGATTTCTTTATGAAACTATAGTACCAGCTCTGAGAAATAAAGATGGTTATGTATATGTTCAGACACTATAGCAACGAGCACCTCAAACTGGATAGAACAGCTCTACTACCAACTTAGCACAAATAAAATAAAACATCTGCCTATTTTGAGTGTTTCGCTACTGAATTGAGTCATGTCTCTAATATATTCATTCACACACCAGAACAAGAATGGAAATTATTTTATTCCCTTTTTACTTGATGTGAGGCATGCAAAAGCTAAGTAGTCTGCCAAGGTCACAGAGAAAGTCTCTTGCTCTCCCCTCCCTGTATCTCACAATACCTGAAATGGAACAGGGCTGGAGACAGCAGCATCCCTTCAATTCCTCCTACTCTCTGTCACTGGGACAGTCAGTTCTCTGCAGGGATTGCAACTTAGCTCAAAACTTGGCTCAGTGCAAGGACTTGTGGGTGCTATCTGGCTGTAATCTCTGAGTCAGATACATGAGCTAATCATGCCTTTTGCCCTTGCACTCTTTGAACTATGAGCTCAAGACACAGGCAGCACAGCATCACATCCTGACTGCCCAGTCCTGGGCTTTCACTGCTGACAACTTCAAACAATACCTATGTACAGAAAAACAATGCTTTCACTACTACACGCAAGGCTTAAATAAGACATTTGCCTTTGCCTCCCTGAACAAATAATCTAGATTGCACTTTCTTTTACATTTACATTTTACATTTATGAACAATCTTCTGAGATGACTGACAAAAGTGGTAACTGACATATAATGTGAATCTTTATGCTGTTATCCATTCCAAGACATGCAGCTGAATAAAATTCTGCTCAGTCAGACATAAAATCAAATTAGAGGAGTTCGCTCTGAAGAGAAAGAACTAAATTTGAAACAAATAAAGCAGTGCATAATTCACTTTTAATGGGATAAGTTCCTAAAACCACACTAATCATAATCCTAACAAGGTAATACTTTCCACTGTAAGTTTACCTCATCACTGCTCAGTACACAGCAGAACAGAGCTTCAGTCACAAGAGGGATTTGCCCCACATGCAAACTGAGCAACTGTATTTTTGCAGTCAGGAATTGCAGAGCACTCCTGTTTATTAATAATTATTCCTTGTGGCCTTACAACATATCATTCATCCCCCATGTGTTCACAAAGACCTTCACCCATCCGTGAGACCTCCTGGACAACACACAACATATTGCTCCACAAAGCCCTGCAATATTACTCAACAGTTTAGAAAAGAACCAAAAACGTGCTCTATCTTGACTGCACAAATTCAGAAGGAAGGTAGCAACTCAGAGAGGAAAACTGGCTATCCCTGAAATAACATTTCCTATGTTTGGAAAAAAATGCCATTGGATTTTTATTGACCATAAGTATTCAAGACCTTGGGTTTGGATCTGATTTTTAAGACAGCATTTTTCATCAGCACAGCAGCTCACAACTGTGAGAATGCCTGAATTAAAAGAGAAAGTATGACCACCTGCTTTGCAGCTACTCTTCAAGGTAGCATCCCAGGATGACCATATTTATCTAATATATGAGAGCTGATACCTTATAACCCAAGATGCTGTGGTGACAGGGCACAGATAAATCAGAAACAAGAAAAGACTTCAGTAATTTCTCTAACAGAGGAAACTTTTACATTTTTATTGAAATGTTCAACTCTGAAAAGCTGTTCTAGCGAAACCCAACATTCAGCATGCTGCATATTCACTATCTCTCAGCAAATGTCTGATCCAAAAAATGTGCCCTGATGACCGGTTAAGAGAGATTAAGGTGAATTTTTGCATGAGATTTTAGAATCAAGCTGGGTTTTTCCCATATTTTCAGCAATCTAAATTTTCTGACTCAAACACAGCAAATCATTCTTTTAATCACGTAGCATGGATTGTAGCTTGCTTCTACATCTGCCTCAGTTTTAAAGAAATTACAGGTTAGAAACAATGAAAAAGCTAATAAAAAGGATATGATCAAATGCACATCAGAAGCAGGTAAAGTAAGCAGATGCTTTTCTACATGAATCTATATACTGTGATATATCCAGCTGAAACCTTGTTCCCTGCACTTTTATTTAAAAGACCATTTACCAAAAAGTAAAAAAGGAAGACAGAGCTACAGTGCATACAATACAAATGGAATTATTTTTCCCTTATAAAAACATTACGGCTCTGCATGAGTATGCAGCAGGGTGAAGACCCTACAAATCAAACTGCAGGTTGCTGACACTGGGCTCAACCATTTCCTCACATGGGTTATTTCTAAACTCTAAAGTATTTAATATTATTTAATAATATTTAATATTATTATTATTTTTAATACTCAGTGTTCAACACACAAGGTTTTTTGTACTCTGTTTCATTAATACACTTTGATGTGAGGGAATTTAGGCTACATAATATGCACAATAGACACAGATACAAGCTTCACCTTAAACAAATATCCTATTTGCTAAAATGATGGCCACACACACATAGAAGAAGATTATGTATGGCAAGCAAGAGATTAAGGGCTATGCCCTTGTCACAGGGCAAGATGTGAATGAAGATGACTGGGGTTGAGGAAGTGTGACTTATGCAAGCAAACATAACACAGGGATAGCAGTGGTTCTCTGACCTAATAAGTTTGTATCCTTCAGTCTGCAGGCTCCAGCTCTGAGTATGGGGGATGTTCTGCCAAGTAGGCACAGGCCAGTCATCAGCAATTCCCCCACTCCTGCAAATGAGCAGTAACTGAGCTGAGCTGACTTCAGGAGAGACCCATATTAAAAAGATGCTGAATGCCTTTAAGCATGAAGGGCTTACCAGGATTCTTTTTTAAAAAAATAGGAAAAAAGAGAGAAGAACACTCTCAACATACAAATTATATTGAGGGAAGAAAATTTAAAATTCCTGAAATTGGAGCTAAATTACTGCTGTTTCCCATAATTCTAAATTTCAGTCAGGATCAAATCCTACACTACCCTTCAAATACTTCACTTCAAATACATTTCAAATCTTTCAAACTGCCCAGAAGGTGGTCTAGTGAAGACACCCTCCTGGTGTGTGAAACTCAGCTCTCTCCAGAAAGCTGATGTGATTGTTCTGTTTATTTCCTTCTGCTGGAAGTGATCCTTGGGCTTGCTCCTTCACCACAGCAGTTTGGAATTTGGTAACATCAGTTTAGTAAGTTATTAGCAAGGGGTTTGTTTTGGTGAGTATTAGGGTATGATTTTACAAAAGAGATACTACCATCATACCAAGGACAACCAGTCCAAAGGATAATGAAATGCCTTGTACCAGGTTATCCAGACACTCAGCAGAAGCAGCTCTGCTAGTACCCTTAATTTGTGATAATTGTGCCAGTGAGCTAATCAGTAGCCCTTAGAGCCCTTCACGGGAACAAATTTGGGTTGGTCCTCCATCTCTGGTTACCTCCTCATACCCACATCCTGCTATGAAAGAGCCCTTTTTCAGTCATGGTGAAGGACTCAAAATGCTCTGGAAAAACAGAAAAGTGCTCAGAAACATTGATGTTAAATCCCTGAACACAGTGTGGAGCACAGTATTTTTGGCCTTCACTGTTATTTCTCCAAGGGAAACCTTCATTTCAGCATTGTTACACAGGAAATTGGTGCCTGAATTAAGAACACAAAGGAACTCATTAGCAATTCTAGCAATAATAATTAGATTTTATATAGCCAAGCCCTGTCTTAAATCTAGAAAAATAATAAAAAAAAATCACAGAGTTGCCATAGAAGGACCATTGCAGAGACAGAAAGATTATACCAATGGCTAGTACAGAAATGTAAGCTCAAATACCTACTATTTCAAAGATTTTTTTGTGCAGGCAACTTAATACCTCTATATCTCAGTTCTTCAGCTGAAAATAGCAAAATGGGAGCATACTAAGGATAAGGCCAGATATGCAATAGAGACTATCTAACAGAACTTGTTTTGTGCATGTGCAAAGCACAGTAAATTGGGAGCTATTTTTGCTACATTTTACGCTGTTGCATAGCACTAAAATGCTGTCAGTGAAATAAAGATCACATTTTTCCAAGCAGAGGAATAATACACCATAAATTACACTCAAACGAAATTTCAGATCAATGTTTTCCCATGAAACAATAAATAGAGACAAACCCTGTTTTGATATGATCTGCTGAGCTTCTTCTCAAGACAGAGGGAGATTCAGGTCACATTTTACTCTCCAGTGAGTGATACCCAACACAGGCATCAAGACTATTTGGGTATTTAAAGTGTTAAAATCACATCTAGAGCCGGTAATCTCTAGCTAGCCCTACAGTCACCAGAGAGAACAGATTAACACCTCTGGTTAAAGCCAGAAGCCTCTGGAGTCCTCCTCTGTTATATTTGATAGCAACATTTGCACTACAGGAATACACTCTTTCCTTCATTCTACAGCATAAATCTTACTGTTATCACTGGGGTTAAGGGACATCTGATACAGTTTAAAAAAAGATAAGCTATCACAAAAAAGTTTTGCAAAGTTCAGCACAAAAACCTTGAAGTCAAACATGCCCCAGCAAGTAGCATATCTAAATCACACAAACTCTTTAGGATTCCTCCTGCCAAAAGCCAAGCAAAGCACAAATGGAATCAATCAGGAATTTTCCTTCATGTTCTGGTCATAGCATACTTGTTTAAACTGACACAGAAAAACCTTTCAAATAGTCTAAGACTGACCTGAAGACTAATCTATAACATGAATAAACTAAGGCCAACCTTTAAGTGCATTTTCCAGAGCTGACCAGGTATCAGTAACCAGAATATAAAAATCAACTAATCTGATGCTTTTTGTTCTCTTCCAGTGAGTCACTGCTGCCATCTAAAGCTACCTAAAGGGCATGCAAAAGAAATCCAAAGTTACATCTAAATAACATTCAGGAAGCACATGTCAGTAGACAGAGAACACAGAGTAAGTCAAATATATTAATGAGATGCAATAAAATAGTGATGCTGCAGTACCTGAAGGAGAAATTCTTTCTCTATCACTTCACCTGTCTTGCTGATAAGTCGCTTCTGTAGTCTCTGAACTTTCAGAATCAGTTCATAGGTAGTGGGGTCGCTGGCCTAGGAAAGAACAAAGGAGTCTCAAAAATTATACATTATAACAAGTTACTGTTTCTTTTTTGCAAATTAAAACCATATCTCAGTGTTCAAAAATAACAAGCATAAAAGGGGGGCTAGGAGAGGACACATTCAGGTATTTTTTTAAAAAACTGTATGTATCCAAGCAGTCCTGGAACTTATTATCTCTATTTTAGCAGCAACTGGAACTGTCCACTGACAAATTAAGACCAGTGCAAGTACTTCCTGCTGTTCAAGAATTTCAAACAGTGCCAATTTAATTTTTAAGGAGAAGATTTTTCTATTTAAAAAAAAGGAAGACTAACTTTAATTTAGACTAATTTAGTCTTTAAACAGGTGGAGAATTTAAGAGGAACAAATTTGGGGGGTACACTGATGAATTATTATGGGGTTCTAAAGTGCCCATACATGTGAAATCCCATTCTTCAATGGAATTAAATGCTTAAAATGGTGACAGAGTGTTTGCACTGTACTGTTGCCCTCTACCTACACAGCCCATAAGAACAGGAGCTAGTAGCTGTCTGTCTCTCCATCTCTTCCTTTTCATTCTTTTGGCATAGATAGAAGCTGGAGAAAGCTCTAAGAAGCAAAGAAATAATTCTGTAAAGAGGAGCCAGCCCAGCTTACTTTCCCAGTACTTTGTGTCTTCTTGTTGGATCTTCCAGTGAAGGGCAAACTCTGACTGCAACTTTTCCTCACTCAGGGACTCATAACAGCTCCCTCCCATCTGGCTTTTCCTGTCTCATGGGGTGTCTCATAAGGATTAAACTCACACTGCAGTAAAGGCTCCAATAAAGTCCAGCTCTTTTATATTCGCTTGAGCTTATAAGGAACTCAGTATCTCATTATTCTTAATCTTTTGTCTGATTTTATCTAAATTGACTAATCAATTCAAGCATAACTAGGACACTGACACAGATACACATGCAGTGCTCACAACACAACAGATCTCCTGAGAAACCAGGCTAAAAAGTAGACCAGTCCTCATGATCCACTCAGTCCTTGATTTTTTTTATAGCACTGCCCAAGCACGGTGCCAATTTGGGACTACTGTAGTGATATGAGAGTGTTTGTTCATTAGGAATTGAACCAAAACCCCATCAGGATTATTTCATATGGATCTTGCCATCTGCTGGCCTCTCTGTGTTCCAAATACAAACCAGTTACCTAGAATGGAAAGACATGATTTCCCACTACCAGTCTCTTCATACATTCATTTTCCCGTCACTGGATGTTTTGACTGGCCTGATTTTTCTTTGTTACAAAGTGCTGCTAGAGTTTGTACCTAGATGTGTTTAACCTAGTTCAACATCCTGCATTATATCTCCCTTCCATGACAAAAGCTAATCACACCATCCAACTTTAAGCTCAGCATGGAAAGATCAGAAATTTACTATCACACTAGTAAGCACAGTCAAAATATTCAGCTTTGCTTCTGCAGGGACAGAGCACATTATCACTCAATATTAGACAAGCTAAGCAACCCAGGCTGGCATCAGATCAGAGATCCATGCAACTGAGGAATCTCAGATGGCACTGACTTACATCAAAAATATCCAGTGATGCCAACTGATGTTCATATATTTCATCTATGCTTGATGGATTTTTTATTTTTCCCCTTCACTTGGCAGGTTCAAATCATGAGAAAACTCACATTTGCTGTTTATGTAAAGCAGTTGAACTCACATTACCTGGAATGACTATCCTTGTGAGTCCACCACTGTTTATGTGGAGGACTCTCTGTTTTTTTCTCAGATGTAATTTACCTTCTGACTTCATATCTGTCCATTCTCCAATCTACCTATTCTATTAGCCTTTCAATTACTGTCTTTCTTCACATATGCATTCCCATATACATCTCTCTGCTCAGTGAGGCTAAGATTGTATCTTTCCCCTATCCTCTTATTTCTCACCATCCATGTTAAGGAATCACCCCCTTCTAAATTCACCTAATGATTCTTATTCCCTTTAGCACTTCACTGTCTCTTTACAAATCTCCCTGCAATTTTTCATTGAGAAAGTGCCACAAAAATAACACCGATTGTATTGCGCAAGGAAAGCATTCAGCAGGTAAGGATTCCATTTGTACAATGGAAATTTCAGTCTGCCCAGTCCCTCCACATCATTTGCATAACAGCAATTGAAATAGGCTTTTGCTGGGTCACTGATGTCATAATAGGGGCTTTGGAAACACAAAATCCTCACACATCACCTCTAATTTTCTCCATCTGTGAACTTGCAAGGGCTTCTGCAGCTCTTCTTCCAAAATTTTGCACCGAGTCTGTTCCTTTAACAGTTCCTTCTGCATGTGATTAAACTCCCATCTGAAGACCAGCATAAAATAGAAAGAAAAAACACGCCAAAAATACTTTGATGTGACCAAGGCACTAACATGGACATTAACAAATCAGTCTCCCATGCACTATGGTGCACAGGAAGCACTACATGGAAAGCACAAAGAGGCACTTTGCCACTGCAGCAATACTGTGATGGCAAAATGTATCAACAGAATACCACTGAACAGGTGGAACCATAAAATAACACACTTGGACCTCTTTTCTTGCTTCATTAAGAATAGCTCAGAAAAGAGGCTCCCAGGGAATCTACTCCACAGACTGCTGAACCTCACTCTTCACATCTTCCCATGTACATTAAGGCCAGAAGGACAGTTAGTTCATAAACCTACAAATCAGTCATGGGTCATATCCAAGTTACTCCTGTGTTGAATCTAACAGGTTGTGTTTGAAAGGTTTTAAATGTACATGGCTCACACAATCCATCAAATAAAGCACACTCTAGGACCTAAGTAAGATGGACACCATGCCTAAGAGAACTGAACTTTGATTTCTTTTGTTACACCTCCTCAAGGAATTTCAGAGGTGACTTGTTGCTGAATTTAAAATTAATTGAGCACTACCAAGATTCTTTGAAAACTAGGCTATTATGGTGGGGATAGGGGGTTTAAGAGCAGGAAAAAAGGCACATTTTGTAATTATCTGACCCTTGTCACTTTAGTGATGGGATCCTCTAAATTCACCAATGTCAAAAGGGGGTGAAAGATTGAGATGTGCCTCCTCCACCACTGAATCTTTTCCTGCTAAGCTCAGAAGTGTATTTAGCTCACTAGAGAGAAAAAGCTCTTTTTTTAACTGTGAGGTTGGACAAGGTTATGGAGAAGGGGAAAAAAACTCACATTTCCAATTGGCAAATCGGGAAAGCTAATTAGCAGCACAAGTGATAAATGGAATCTTTTTGACAGGCAGTTTTCATGATGGTTTTGGACTTCATTAAAGTATGAGATTGCTGCTGCAGTTAGCAAGAATTGATCCACCCATCATGGCATGCAGCACACTACACTTCAATACCGTCACTGAGTTTCAATACAGTAACAGACTTTCAGCTGAATGCATTTGGGCAGCAAGTTCAAATTCCATTCCTATCTGCAGTCAGTCGATGAAAACTGCAATTGCTAATGCTGTGTGCCCAGTTCTCCTTTCTGTTTCACCAAATCAAACTGGCATAATTCCACTGGAGTCAATGGGACTGACCATGGACTGAAGTTAATTTGTTCTGCTGAAAGCCACGGAATCACACTGATAAAGTAAAGATCTCACCCAAAACTGTGATAGCTACACCAAATTGGTACAATGGTTATCTGCTAAAAACATAACTGCCTCTCCTTACAAATCAAGACTGATTCTTAGAAAATATCCAGTTTCCTATCAGGAAAGAATACACTTCAAATACATGAGGGGTAAACAAGAGAGGAAGCATTAAGCTGGGGAAGAAGGAGATAAATCAGGTGCTAGAAAATTGCTGTTTTAAAGAAACAAAATCTTCAATGAAAATTTAACTAAAACTTTCTCATAGATCATAAGATCTGCACCTAAATCTAGAAGGAGAGAGCTCCAAAAACAGGATTTTGTTCTGAATATGTCAAGTGTCTCCCATACTCTGTGGATTGCTTAACCAAAAGGAGTTCCACTAATCTAGGCCTTGTACCACTGTACCACTTAGGAGCTCACTGGACTGTGAACACCTTTTCTGCTGCTGTCAGGTTTATTCTGTAGGCAGTAACTCAGAGTACAAAGGGAAATACAGAAACTATTTCAACTTTAGCCAAGATCTCTTCTTTCCTTATTATGATATTTCAAATTTCCTAATTGTTGGTAAATTGTTTAATGAATTTAATCCAGTCTGTGTTTGAGGTCAAACAAAAGAAAGCCCTTCTCCACAGTTGATACAAGTCTTTACTATGTATAAACTACATTTTCTGTCTCAACCACAAAACCATGGCTGCAGTCACTATGGAAATGCATTCCCCTGGGTTTCCTACCTGAGCTCCTGCACATTAGCCACACTCTTGCCAAGTATTCCCTTCTCACGCCGAAGTTTTTTGATCTCCAGCTTGAGAATCCTCATGTCTTCCAACCTCTGCCGGTACTCGCTCTCGCCCCGGTTTAAGATGGCCTGCTGGATCTTTATCTTCTCGTAGAGCAGCGCCACCTCATCGTTGCGGTGAATGAGCTGCGTCCCCAGGGCACGTCTCTCACAGAGCAACTGTGGGCACGGGCAAAGCCATGAACTCAGTTACACTTCCTTCACACAATCCCAGAGTACTGCGACTATGCTTGTATCAGTCAAAATCATGGGCATTAAGAGGTTTCACTGTTATTAATTAAAGAAATACAGCAAGAACCTAATAATTTCCCCTAGAAGGGTTCAATCACCTGAATAGTACAAACTACAGATTTCGTTCACTTCAGTATCTTAACATTTTTGTTTTAATGGCATTATAAAGCTTTAGTACTCTTACATTCACAGTAGCTAAGAATCTTCATCTTAAAAATACACTGGGCAAATGAGGGAACAGAATGCAGAGTATTTGAAAACTCAAATTAGGGATCCAACCTTATCAAATTCCTTCTTCTGCTTCAGTCTTTCTGCATCAGCTTCAGAAATGATTTTTAGGAGTCTTTTCTCTTCTGCCTCTTGATTCTCAATATAGGCTTTGGCTTCATGAGCCTGTTTTGTCATCTTAAGCAGTTCAGCCTGATGAAGATAAAGAATATAGGTGAGCAACTGTTAATTAATAACTTCCCATTACAGAAACCTACAATTAAGAGTTACTTACAAATATTTCATACATTATTTTACCTTCCTGAGAGGTACACATTTTGTTAGTTTTTGAGAACTAATCAACAACACAGGCAAGCTTGAAGACCCATAAAAAATACTATAAATACTATTTTAATGTAATCGTCTCATACACAATAGAAATGTGAAAGTATTTTTATCTATGACAATGGTTCAATTTGTAATTCAGAGATACCTTATTTAATTTTATTTTTTTTAATTATACAGCACATATTTAGAAAGCTCTTCAATGGAGTTGTTATTCATAGTCAGTCTGGGATGTGAGAAAGAACAGTTCACCTTGCTGAAAAGGGCAACAATCTCTCCTGTATAGTACAAAACAGCATCAACTCAAGAAAGGCTTCAGACTGGAGTAAAAGAATTGGTGGCAACCAGGAAGGGAACAGCAAGATTTAAGAGCCACAGCACTTTGTTTAGTGGATGTGTAAATGGGGAAGACTGTGAAAAGAGGGGGTGTCCCAAAGCAAGGAGGAGCAATGCACTGCTACAGCAACTGCCCAGCACCAACATAAACTAACACTGGAATCTGCCCTGTCATTCTATCCCACTGGCACAAAATCTTCAATTTAAGGCATGTATGTAGATAAAAAATAATAGGGTCATCCTGGATTATTAGAAGTTTTTATCACTGCTAGGCAATCAGAGGCAAGGTCGAACTAGCTGACCACAGCTCATTGTCATAGCTATGGAAACTTTCAAGCCTCAACTCAAAGACTTCACCACAACTCTGACCCTTATAAAGAATGATGTTCAAAATAAGCATCATCTAATGCTGAAAGATTGAGGCTGTGTTGAAGGGTGCACCTGCAAAAACATTGATTTAAGACAAACAGTTCCATCATAATAATAAAATAGCTTATTCCATTCTTATTTTCTTTAATAAAATTCTCATTTTCCTATATGTGTAAGACATAGCTCTCTTAGTCAGTGTCAGATATTCATCAGTTGAATAAAATGCAAGTCACTTCATCCTGAAATTCAATAAACACTGTAGAAAAGCTGCCCACAAATGTAAAACTGCTCTTGTGTTCAGCATTGCTGATAATATTTTTTTTAATAGATCACAATTCTATGGTCTCCTTATGTCAGAAAAATATGAATTGTAAACAAGAAGTGGCATTAAATGTGGTCAGCAAACATTCATATAAACAAATCTCACTGGAACGCACTCAGTTGAAATAAATCTGAGCTGCCTTGTATAGTAAGGAACATAAATACTTAAAGGCACACAAGGATTTTCAGTTAGATTAAATATGCCCACAACCACAGCATGAGGGTCTGTATACATCAGGTAAGAGAAAAGGAAATTAATAAACACAGTCACTGTGCAAGCAGAAAAATGGTCACGTTTGAAACTGCTGTAAATCAGCACAGCTCACCTGAAGTCAGTTCAGAGAATTTGTAAGAACTGAAGAACAGTCAGCAAGAAAAAAATAACATATATGGGACCTACACCAATATCTCAAACCAAATTTAAACTAAATTCTTGTTTAGATTCTGAAATATTAGTGCAAGTGATACTTTTATTGGTATGCTATACTAGAGGTGAGAGGAAAGCAGGAGTTTTACACAAGTAATAACTGGGACTGAACACAGAATGCTGAAATAACAAGTCAGATTTCATATTCAGATTTCCAGAAAAAATATGCATAAACATCTACAAAATTATACAAATCACCTGACTTGCCAGCAGCTCCAATTTCGAGGGCCACAGATAGATATTTTTTTTTCTCCAATATTGAGATACTTTGTCTAACTCTAACCTGCAGCCCTGCATGAAGGCCAACTGAAGCAAAAAGATGGCATTGTACTGGCTTTAATAGAGCTTGGATTTACCATGATTGCATATTTTTAAGGCCTTTATGCCATCTGAGGTGAGCATGTCTGTATAACCTCATTCCTACGAATCCCAGTCCTCTGTGATTTAGCACACTCTTTAAACTTATTTCCCAGGAACAGCTTTCTTAGTTCCTTCACATCAGTGCAAACAGGACAAATTGATGCTGGCTTGCAACACAAATAATTGGGTTCTTTGGTGCCTGTGACAATCAGCTGCCTCTGATTTTTTTTCTAGTTTAGTACTCAGCAGTGACACTCAGGTGGAAGACCACAATGCCCTGAAGCAAGTCAGTAATGTCATGTCAGTGTATGGACAAACCTGCTGGTGAATAATTGAGTGGGTAAACCATGCAGCAATCATATGTTTGTCAAATAAATGGCAGACAGTTCTGAGATGATGGGACAGAATTGGGGACTAGTTAAGGCAGAGAGCTGCACACAGGGAATGAGATGCTGTTTGACTTCTCCATCACTGGTAGAACATCTCTGAAACAGATCAGGTACAAGAATACAAATTCATCACCCTTTTACAAAGCCTATTGACATCTTGTCATAACTCTATGTGCTGAGAGAGGCTGAAAATTCAAGGAGTCATAGCAGCAAAGCAATAAACTGACAAAAGAAAACATCGTGAAAAGTGACAGGGAACTTTTGGTTTTTGGGGGTCTTGTTTGCATTTTTTCCTGGTATTTTTTTTTTCCTAGTGCCTAGTGAAGATTAAAAATAAACTCCTGTGAACACAACTCCATAAATCTTTTCAGAATACAGCAAACTGGGTTGAAATACCACCACAAATCTAATAGCTTATCTAAGGATGGGCTGCAGCAGCACTGAGAAGAACCCGAGCATCAAGCTTAGATTTCCTTTAAGACAGAATCTTGCTGCTTTATACCACAATATTAAAATAACTTTCTCTGCAGAGGGACCTACTAAAAAGCACTGCCTAACTCCCAAAAGGCTAATGCTTGCTAGTTACATAGAAATACAACATTGTGCAATATAATAGGATTTGCACTTAAAAACAGTAGAAAGAAAAAGTTCTTAAAAATAAAAAGTTGAGTTATAAGGGTCTACATTAAAGAGTTTGCTAGAACCAGTTTATCCACAAAATCAACATCTCTGCAAGCAAAATGGAACATTTTAGTAAAAAATGTTGTCACCAAGAGATTTAAAGCTTCCAACAGACAATTCTGGACTCTTTTATTATAATTATAGGCAGAGATTAAATTTGTCAGATACACAGATTTCTGCAACTAGTATCTCTAAAGGGTGCTGAGATCTTGTACTTCAAATACAGGATAGTTTATTAAAATACAGTAAAACAACTACCACAGGTCAGAACACAATGCAGTCTGGGAAATCACGGAGCCCACCCTTTGAAAGAAAGTATCTGTGTCAAGGGTCTTACTTTCACCGACTCTTTCTCAGCCTCTGACTGCTGGAATTCCACTTGTACTTTCTCAAGGGCTACATCCTTTTCTTTGATCTCCTCTTTCAGCTGATCCACCTGACGTGTGGAATTTCTCAGTTTCATCATCATTTCTGCTATCTCATCCTAATAGAAGAGGAAGTGTGATCACAGAGAGGGTTAAAGCAAGTTGTTTTTGATGCTGGGTTCAGGCTATTTAGACATTGGAAAATGTAGCCATGGTGCATGAAAGTATATGTGTTGTACCTACTATAAGACACCACTTTTTAATCCAACAGAAAACAGTTTTATTAAACAACAGTTTTTTGTTTAAGCCAGCATGACACTGCAATAAAAAACCCTTTTAAAGATACACTGACAAAAATAATGACCATCAATCATGAGTTTAATAAGACATTTAATTTAAAGTGCTGGACACACTATAAGAACTAGCAGTAAATCCAAATCACTAAGATTCTGATCATATCCATCTGTTTTCATGCTTCTAATAACATGCTTTTCCAATAAGGTCATGCATAGTTGGGCACAAATCTTTGGAGAGAAGCTTATTTTATGCAGACAAATATAGCCCTCAGTAAGATACCAATATATATGCTAGTTTGGACAGAGGTGCAAAGTTCAAAAGAGGGCTTAGTCTTTTAGAAGGCTCTGTGAAAATATTTAGCATGTACTTGAAGATTGAACAGAGCAAAAAGGCTGGTAGCACTGAAGAGAGATCAGGTCAGTAGGAACACTTCTACTCACAGTGCAAAGCTGCCTGCCTGTACAAAATTAGCATTTCAGCTCACCACAGTGACAGCACATGCTATGCCATGAAATGGAAGCTAACAGTCAATGATTAGACAGTTATGTTCTTCTGGATGTAATGAAAGCAGCTTTAGAGGCTATTACTCCTCTGCCAGAGCCTACCACCTCACAGAGAGAGGACATCACAATCTCTCACGTGATACACCCTCTTCCAGTGCCAAACCAGGGTAGCTTAAAGCTCCTTCAGCTCTATCCACCATAGGTGTGGATTTACTCAACAAATGAGGGATTTTACCTGCACAAAGTGCTAATGTAGCTAAGCAAGATCTTGAGTCATGGCAATCTTCACCCAAGCAGCACAGAGAGAGCACTGATTAGTAGTAATAGGCACCACGCTCAGCTGTTTGCACATACAACCACTTCCATGAAAGCAAAAGTTATTAAAAGCTGCCCTTGGTACACAGCCTATAAATCTCTTTGGTGTTGTAAAAGATGACAGATTCAGCACAGAGAGCCCAAACCCACCCAAATACATTCTTAATTCTTTATTTAATGCAAAATTGTAAGAATACACAATTTTGCAAACTGGTCTCCTAATCAACTTGCTTAAATAAATGAACTCCTAGCACCAAAAGAAAGCCCCAGGATGAAAGCATCAGCTATTTATATCATAATAACAGCCTGCCAGGATGCCTTTTCCATTTTAATGGCTTGAATATTATGGTGGTCTGGAGACCACTGGCAAGGTGGGCATAAGATTATTTCACATTAAGCAATCCAAAAATATTTGCATCCAGCTTTACCTAAAGAGGCTTGTGCAAATTTTACTTCCCAAAATGAGAAAGAATTTGCCATAATGTTTAAAACAACAATCTTTTATGTTTTGTTTTTTTTTTCCTTTCATGACTGGATGACCTGTTACTGAACACTGAATAGCTATTTTTCTCATTGCTAAACATAACACTGCCTTGGCCAAAACATCTTTTGGGGTCAGCTATTTTCTCACACAGGACTTGCTAAAAGAGTTTAGTAGTATGACAAGCAAGCTATTAAAGTCTACATATTGGCCTCTAACAACTGGAACTGTGAACAGCATAGTGTTACCACCATGTAACATTCAAAACCAAAAGATGAAAAGGCTTCTCCATTTTCTAACTCAGCACATAGATTCCTGTTTTTTATAAATAACCACATTTATTTAGTGTGTTTTAAAATAAAAATAACTAGGAAAAAAATAAATTGTGATTTTTCAACCTTATTTCTCCTGACAGATTTTTTGGGAGCAGCAAGAATCCCAGCACTGAATCCACCAGATGAGAGGCTGACTAAGGTCAAGTAAAGCATTCCACATAAATGGCAAAATGGCGCATTCCTCATAAAATTCAGCACACAGCTTGTTAGGAACTTTGACAGTTCATTCCCATGTGCTTCTCAAATAAAACACCTACCTATTCAAACCTAAGTATAAATTTGTAATTTACTATACAGGTCATAAATACTTATTTGGAAATATCCCAAGGCTTAAAATGACAGCTATCCAGGGTCCCAATATCTGCCAATTACAATAGGATTTGTGTAGTATTTTAGATCTTTACATCAGAATAACAATATATCCTTAAGTTCTCCTCTGCTCTCCTAGTATTGTAGTGAGATCCCCAAGGAGGAGATATGAATGGAAAGAATCATCTCCTGAGGAAAATTGCACTCTCTGAAAGAAACAAGCAAAGTGGAAGCTTTTGGTTCTCGTCAGAAAATTCCTCTTCAGCTGGGAAAGTGTTTCTCTGCTTCCTAAATCATTATTCACAGTAATGTTCATACTCATTCAGGGCTAAGGAGGCAATCTTATTCCCCTTATACCCTATTTCACATACATGCATACAACTCCTAAAGGGATAAAACAGACTGGAGGCAGGATGGCTTTATGAGTCTGTGGCTCCAGTGTACCATGATTTTACACATGGTTTGCAGCAGGGATATTTCCACATCATGACTGAGGACTCCTATTTCCAGTCCAAATACAAATGGTGTAGATAAAACTTCAGAGACCTAAAACATTCATCTCCCCAAAAGCCACAGGAATGAAAAAACCACTTCTGCCATTGATCCACTGAACTTGCCTTTAACAAATTAAAATTAAATCAGGAAAAAAAAAAAAAAAAAAAAAAAAAGAGCAGAGAGAAGCACAAGGAAAAATGTATCCTTCTACCTTAGCTTCAATCAGATTTTTACTGTACAGGGTCCTCTCTGCTCTCAGAGTTTCACAAAGATTTTTTTGCTGTTTTAGTTTAACCCCTTGCACTTCTATTTCCTTCTCATAATTGCAGATCTGAATTTGATGCATTTCAACATCTTTCATGTGATTGAGAACCTGGAGCAAAAGGAAAGGAAAGAAATTAACATGATTAAACCATCATCACAAGATTAGAAGGATGGGACAAAATTTGTGATTTGAAAATGACAAGTTCAAATCCCTGTGATATGCAGTTTTAACTACAGCTGAAAATTGCTCCAGTCCAAATACAAGTTTAACCTTTCTGACCTGCTTATGTTGGACAAAATTGTATTTTAATCTGATACCTAGGTTTCACTCAAAACTAAAACTTATAGAGGGGTACATATTGAACTTAAAAACAAGCTACTGAAAGAAAATATTGCCACAGGGTGGATGCAATAATATCAACATAAAAGCTTCCATCAAGAATAGACTCAGTTTCTTTATGAAGCAAATCTAGATTTTGGATGTTGTTTTGGATGGCAGCTGTATGATGAGATGAATTAACACATATGTTTTTCCAGAAGCCCTACATGCACTCTTACATTCTAACAACCAAATTTTTTTAATGAACATGTGACCACAGAGTTGATGACTACAAACTGTTCAGATATAATTACTATAATAAGAAAGACAGTTAATGTAACTTACACTTGGTCTAAATAAGTAGGTAATCACCATTAGTTGCTTCTATGAAAGATTAGAAATAATTATGTGAAGATTACCTAAGGAGAATGGAGTACTGTAGACTATAGAAAGATGATTACATGCAGTATCAATAAAGAAAACCACAAAATTTTACAGACACCTTTATTAAGCAGTTACTACCATAAGAACACATAATTGCTATGTTACGGGGCAAAAATACGAATCGTTGCTAATCATTATGAGGAGATTCTAAACTTATTTTTTAATTTAAAAATATTTTTATTAATTAATTTTTTCTTTTTCTCCTGCTGTACAAATCTGAAAACTGAGGAGCTCAAGGAAGTAGCATTCATACAGAATTCAGCATTCAAAAAAGAAAAAACGGAAAGAAAAACAATACTAAGGGGCACACACATCAAAAACACAGTTTACCAGGTTCACTACCCAGGAGGAGAAAACAATGCCATCCCTAAAGCTAGGAAAAAAATTAGGCATTAAAAAAAAGCTGAGGAATCACACCGACAAAATCCAGGAGAGAAGTCAATGTCCAAATGCAGTTCATATCCTGTTCTCCTGACTCCACTTTTGAAAGTAGAGTTTTGGACTTTAATACATGCCTGTATGTCAAAGCAGAAGAATAAAACAGATGCTTACATCAAATAGTCAATAACTGCAAAGTTTGCAATTACAGCATTGTCTTCCTCAGCAGTAAAGCCTTGGGGAGGCCTAACTATGGGACAGGAGCTTAAATAATTAAATATTCCACCAGCCAAGTACCTCCAACCAACTTTGAAGATAGGGGAGAGATAAATATCAAAAATTTTATTACAGAAGCAGGAATACAATTCCAGCACATTGTAGCTGACTTCAGGTGATCCCAGGAATGCTTACAATGCAATACAAAAACAAGAGCTTATCCCAGTTTATAACCCACTCCTGCCTTTTCCTTTGCTGTTTAAACAATCTGCCAATAGTGATAGCACAGAGAAGAAATCAATAAGGCATGTTTTCTATCTGCACTATGGTGATCATAGGCTGGAGCAAGTTTTGAAAGTAGGTCACTGCATTTGTGTTTTGCTTGTTCCTGATATAAGATAACTGCAGTAAGATTGTGGAAAAAGTTTTTTGAGTTGTGCTTACAGGCTAGATGCTGATTTTGCTTTTTCAGGAATGATTAAACGCAAATTATTCTCTCTTATAGATACATGCAGTGTTTCACAACACAGCCCCGTGGGAGGCTGAGCATGCTCAATTCCTGTTTAGTCAACAGGCACACTACACCCCTCAGATTTGGCAATAAGGGCCCAAAGCTAAGCAAAAAGGATTTGGTATTCATAGTTTTTCCTCTATCCTTGTACCTCTTTTATTTGTACATTTCAGTATCATCTACTGCTGGTTACCTGTTTAGTTCTATAAACCTACTCAATAGGTCAGTAATGGTGCTGTCCTTATTTGTTTACCCATTTTTAACCACTCTAGGAAGTGCTGCCATGGCCTTAATGATATGCCTATTGAAAAACAGGTTTTCAAAAAGATTATGTGAATTCAAAAAAGGAAATGTATATTTTTATTTTCCTGGATAGGTTGTTAACTGCAAACTCAACATTTTAAAAGAGTGTATTTGAAAAAAGTCAACATATTAAAGACTGGTTTTGTGACTCCTCAGAAAACACAGCCAGATAATAGTTCAGATGGAACTGAAAAGTGTACTTCACTGCCTTCTTTTCAGCAGCCTAAACCTTACACAGAGAAACCAACACTTCATAATTTAAGAATTTCAATTCAAAAAGGAAAAAAATCTGCTAAAAGTTGTACACAGTAATACAGGCTACATAACAAAGAGCAAGGATGTTGTTTCTCATTTGTGCTGGCTAATCTAGAAGTAAGACTTTTCAACAAGTGGCAGTAACTTGAAAATAAGCAGTCAGCCAAGGCAATAGTTAGAAGAGGAAGTCATGCACGAATTCTCACCCTAAAAATATTTTACTGTTGTGTATATAATTTTGTTGACTCTGTTCATCAGTTAATAGTAAATGATTGTTGCCACAATACACAGAGCATCACCATGCAAGTTCAGAAAGCCTTAAGCATTTGCCCAAACACAGTAACACCATACCATACCACACCACACCAGAAGGCTTCAGGCATCTGCCCATACAGAATAACACCACATCACTTCAGAAGACTGCTCCTCTTGTTCTTCAGCCCAACCTTTTACCCTCATCATGTTGATGCAGTGCCCCTGTGTGCCCTCTGCTCCCTTTGGTGGCTGGTCAGTGCCCCTGGGCACTCCAGGCTCATTGCTGTCAGTGCTGCTCACCTGCTGCTCACAGCTGTGCCCACTGGGGATGGGGCTCAGCCACAGCCCCACTCCCAATCACCACAAACTGTGTGCCTACAAATGATGATTTTGAAAGATTAATTCTGCAGCTCTGCATAGTACGTGCTGCTATAAATAGCCAGAGATATTTCAGAGCCAGAATAGCTACGTCTCTGGCCTTAGATGGGTTTGGCTCTTTTCTAACTCTTATGCAATTCCAAAGGTAGGGTGCAACTCCTGAAAAACCAGGTTGGTGGCAAAAAGTGACAGAAGAACACTGACTGGCCATGGTCTTACTGCCATCAGTAGCTCATTCCCCAGCAGCTGTGAAATAACTCCTGTAGTTTTGACACAGCTTGTCAAGTCTAAATAGGTCAAACAGTGAACCTAAATATTACCTATTTACATAATAATCCTGATCCTATGTTCTCCTACCCTGCATGTGGACTTGAAGGACAAGACTGCTGTCTCACATACTCCCGTGCTCAAAACTGTTCTTGCTGCTCTTCACCTGTAAGGAGAGCCAGGAATTGCCCCTTTGGTGAGCCAAGGAAGCCTGCCAGTCCTTTGGAAAGCTGCAGTCACAATGCAGGCAGGATTATACAAACATCTCAAGTGTCATAAGCCATTTACTGAGCCTCTCCCTTATAAGAAATGATAGAAAATTTACACCCAAACTGGCAGGGGAAAAAAAAGAAAAAGTAAGCAGACAAACATTTGTCATTCTCACCCTCAAAATACTATGGGCAACCCCAAATAGAATGAAAAGAAATAGCCTTGTAGTTCTGAGTATTATGAATTACTCTCTGTCCCTAGTTTACAATGTTCTTAACTCATATCTACACTGTTAGAAATGCACTATGAGGGAAAGAAGCAAAATATGACTTTGCAACAAAGACAAATCTCACTTTTGTGGAATATTATTTACAAGGAAATGACAAGAGGTATTCCAGGCAATAGAGCATACACCATTCTAAAATGATTTAAAAGCCCCTGGTCAAATGAAGTTGGAAGGATAATTTTACTGTGAAAAGATAGCAAATAACTTTTGAGTTGAAACTGCTTGGGAGCTAATCCCAGTAAATCGATGAGCTCTTTGGAGGGCTCTCCAATGTGATATTCAGCAATTAATGGAACATGTTAAAAACATGTTCCTGATTTTACTTCATCAGGAATAAAGTTATACATAAAAACGGGCAGCAGGCAACACAAATTTTATGCAGTATTTCTCTGCAGCTGCTCCTGGAAAACTTGTTTTGCAATCTATCTTGAATATCTGAGATGTTTTCACATACTGAAGTAAGCCTTCAAAATGTTAAGTACCTTCCAAAGGTGTCAAGCACTGTTAGGTCTCACTGGCCTCAATTTTAGGACAGTGGTTGTATGCAAGATAAGGTCCTTTGCAGATAAGACAGAACAATCAAAGTGTAACTTCCAAATGCATATGAGAGTTTCAACTGTGGGACTCGTGTATAAGAAGTCAAGAGGCCTTGGTTTGAACTCCAGCCCTAGCTTCATTTCACAATTGATTGCTGAATAAGAGCAATACATGGCTGGACTCCAAGTCTCTCACGGAATTAACAAGTCTCTCTCCCATTGATAAGGTTTCCCTAGAGAGAGCTGAAGCAGTAGAAGGCAACATGCATTGACAGCAAAAAATATTTGTATAGGGTATGAAGACCACCAGTCCAAGCTTTCTCCCACTGGCATGTTAGGAAAATTAACATATCATCTTCACAGTTCTGAGAGTAAGACAGGAAAGAACCCCTTGCACAAAGAGCTGTTCCTACCTTCTCTTTGAGCTCACTCAGTTCCTTGATGAAACTATCTCTCTCCTTCTCCAATTGGTAAATAATTTTCCTTTGTTTCTGAGCTTCTATCTTATAATGTTGGATTTCAGTCTCCAAGTTCTGTTTTGACTGTTCATAGAGCTTCACCAAATCTATCTGCTTCTGAGTAGCATTTGTAGCCTTGATCAAGTTCTAAAGGGAACAAAATATAATGAGTCCTGAGCTGAAAATGCAACACTGTCACCACTATGACAAAAGCATGCCATTGTCAAAGCGGATTACGGACTTTTCAATGTTATTATTCCTTATCTAATTTGTTCAGTTGAAATACTTGAACCTTAAATCTGATTTAAACAACAAAAATCTCTAGCACAGCTGCTAAATAGAGCTTTTACTGATTTCAAGTTAAAGCACTAGTGTCTGCATTAAAAAAAATAAAATTGACAGGATTGTTTACAAGTGGATATAACTAATAACTGGAAAATCCTTACCAGCTTTAAGGCATTTTGATGGTAAAGCTTGCCAATAGCCAGTAGCATTAATAATAAAGCCAAATACACTTCTTTCTCATGTCTTCAATAGAAAGTTCAAGCTTGAAATTAACCAAGCTTACTTTAAAATTTTGCATAAAGATTAAACAGAAAACATCAACATATCATCTTTACAAAATCAGCCTCCTGGTCCCACTTCAAAATTTCCATCCCTATACAAAACAAATATTTGTTACCTGTCAAATGAGAACCTCTGCTAGATTCAAGACACAGGACAGTGAATCTACACCAAATAAAGCATGTCAGAAATCATGTTTTAGCATTGAATTTAGTAGATAACACTTCAGGACTGCCCACAAACATGAAATGCTATACTGCAGTACAAGAACCTTGGGCTGATGGGAAGCAATCAGTATGAGAAACAGTTCTAAAAGCAAGGATTACTACTCAACCTGCCAAGCTGCTACACAGCGTAACACTCTGGTTGTTCTTCTATTAGCAAACAGTTTGTCTAGATTAGTACCAAACGTCATAAGATACAGAGTAAAAGATCTGCGTAAAAACACAGATATAGCAAACTCTTTGGATACCAAACAATGGGCTTGCAGTTTGAACTCCCTGATGGTTTATACATTAAAACTTGGAAATCTTCTGTGTGTTTATGGATACTAATACTATTTCAATGTACAGAATAGAAGTAGTTTGTACATCTGCTTAGGGAAATCTGAAGGCTTTAACTTAATATTATGTATTCTACATTTCTGTGTTGCTGTGAATGTTGAAGCTACAAGCACTTCATTCTCAAGCTGTGAGGCTTATCAATATGACCAATGCAAACTCACCTGGTTTAGCATATCCCTCTCCCTCACAAGCCCATCTATGGCTCTCTTGTCAGTCTCTGCCTGTTTTTTGCCTGTCTCCAACTCTAGAGAAAAAGAGGAAAGACAGTGAATTCTGTGTTCAAATTGTACAGCTGTTAAAAATGCAGAAATCCACAATTTAGTGGACTTTTTTTAAAACCTTGACATTACATAACCAATTCAAGTAGTTTTGAACAGGTTTTACAACCCTAGGTATTAGCTGATGCTAATGCTTATCTGGGTACCTAGAATAACTTAAAAGAACTCAGAAAACAGATCCACCTATCTCTTAAGCACCTACCTTTCTCCAGTCTGATTATTTGATTTTTTAGCATGCTTTTTTCATGTTCTGCATCAACTTTTTGTTCCTCTGCAGTACGCAGCTTATGCTGGAGAACATCTCTCATTTTGCTCAGCTTTGAAATTTCAAGGCTCATATGAGCTGCTTCATCCTCTGTCTCCTACAGAACAGCAACAAGGAAAGGGGAGAGAAAACATCCACAGAAAGAAGGAAGAAAATGCTTTTTTATTTGGTGTACACTTACTCCATGAAACTCAGGAAGAAAACATGTAAGTGCTGTGGGTCAGCTGCAGAAAGATAATTAGCTAATTGAAAAATATTTAAAATAATTTAAACAAAGCCAGCTTGGGAAATGAAAATTATAATCAAATCTTATACTTTAGGGCTGAAGATGATCAACAAAGAACCTCGAGCTGCAAACCTCACACAGCACTACCCAATTAGTCCAGTTAATTAAAAACAGGCAGATCAATTTTCATTTGAAGTACTAGGCACAGTGATTGTGATGAGAAAGATATCCATAGTGTAGTCTTGATTGCATGTCCATAAATAGCAGGTATGTATTATCCCCATCTCTTTCATAACCTATGGCTTTAAAGAAAAAGCAAAATCCAGAATCTGTCTCATTTGCTATACAATAGAGGAAAAAATAATCAAGCAAAGTACTGCATAACTGGTTACTGGGAAACATAACCAATAATCACAACAGCAATCAGTCTTTTTCCTTTTAAGAAGTATAACTTTGTATAATTCAGTGCCACTGCTAGGTTTTACAGCCATCACAGACTACTGTGTTCCACTTACAGCCTCAGATACTGATTGTGTGAGAAGGGGAATCCTGCTATGAAGCATCCTCTGGGAGAATGGGAATCTTCTTAGTTCTTACTGACAATAAGCTTCAAGAGGTTTAAGAGTAGTTTGACAATTCACATTGCCCAGCACACTGCAGGATGGTATTGCAGGCACAATCCCTACAAAAACTGCACCCCAGATCATGACTAGGGCTCTTAACCTTTAGCAGCTGGCTTAACTGCTAACTGGGCAGTATCTCTATTTTTTCTTCCCAGAAGTCCTTGAGCATGACTCTGAAAGTTCCATCAACTTTTCCTGAAATCAGGATCAGATAGATCACAGAATCAAAATCCTCTGACACTCTGAAGTCCCAGATGTAAGTCATATTTGTAAAGTTTTAAATAAAGGTGGCATTGGTAATGATAAAACTGGATAACCTGGAAAAGAGAGTAATTTGTTTTTCAAATAAGTAAGAAAAACGGCCTTCAGTTTCACTAGTAAAATACAACAGAAAGAAAGCTCCTATCATCCTCCATTAAGGATCCAAATCAGAATCATTTTTGTCATATTAGTTGTGAACTGAGCTTTTAATCAGTCAGGGGTTAGTTTCTATCAGACTAACAAGCAAACAAGCTTTTTATTTAGGTTATACTCAACAAAGGAATTTGTTATACTCAATAAAACTCAAGAATATAATTATTTTCTACCTGAATTTTCTAATGTTTAGTATTTTAACCCCAATGGTGACACAAAATGCAAGATATGGTAAATAGCATAATAGCATCCAACATCTATACATTACCCTTTGTCAAGTGCTCTCAAAATACCCTAATAAGAATGTGCAGGAATCCTTTAATTCCTCCTCAACAGAGACTCATCTGCTTCTGAGTTGTATGAAATGACTGTTAAGTAATGTGAAGTCAGGCAACAAACCCATTTATATCTGAAAGTAAACACCATCTTGGTTATTTATATTCAACTTTCTCAATCGATACTTGAAGGGAGAAGAAATTAGTGTTGAAAGTAATTCTCTTCAGTGGAAACTATCCAGGACACCATTTTTATCATCTATAACCATTTTTCGATGGATTTTGGCAAAATTCAAATTATGTTCATCATTGTAAGAAAATCATCCCTCTTATTTGAAGATCTCAGGATTGAAAAGAGACCCATGTTTGTGACCACCCATTCTTTACGAACAGTGTTGAACATTTTGGTTCATGTGTTTTATGAAACAACTCCTCCAGGAGAACAGGTGCTACAATGTCAGATGAGAGGGCTGAAGACTACCTGCCATAGAACGAATGGCATCCAGCATCAGATTATTCCTAAAAACTACTCATGTTTCCTCCAAAACTACCTGTGGGGAACTATCAGGACAAGAACTGAAGTCATCCCTGTCCCAAGTGGTAAGACTTCATTGGAATGACACAGCTGGGAGGATGCACCTTCTGGAACTTACTTTCAGTTGTGCCGTCTTCTGACCAATGTCCTTCATCACATCATCAAGCATTGCACTCTGCTGCTCACTCTCTTGTGTGAGCTTTTGATGTTTCATCTTCAATTGCTCAAGTTCCTTACCAGCTTTTTCATTCAAGGTCTGTTAGATTAAAGAACAATCCTATTAATTCTTCTAAATTTCATTACAATACCTAAATACACCTGAAGACCAAACTTTCCTGCTACTCAGGAGACAAAAGCTGCTGCAGATTGTTGTCTGCTTAAAAACCAGCCTGTTGATGAAATTACTAATATTACTAAATATGATACATGGTCATAATGACATGGAGAAATCATAATTTCTAATGAACAACAGACCCAGTGTAACTTTTTTTTTTTTTTTTTTTCTGGAAGCTTAGCAGGTGTTTATTGCAGGTGGTAAATAGATATTTTACTTCTTGTTAGGCATCTGGCAACCATCACATAATACAGCTTGATACATACAATTATTGAAAATGAGTATAAGATTCAAATCACTTCAATCAGCAGAGGGCAGGGAAGCTCTGTTTTATGAGCAAGCACCCTACATTAATGTGCTGATAACATTTCTCTGGGTACATGGTTTGCTGAGACCAGGACAAAGCATTCTGCTCTTTAATTTTTCTTCAGTTAAACATATGGACTAGTGGTTTTGTGGTTTCTATACAGAACATATTTCAATACTGGAGCTACCAGATTTATCTTCTGCTTGATGGAAATTTCCTTGCAGATATTACATACATAAATGAGGAAAGAACAACTATCATATTTTTCACTCCTGATGAAGTCAATATACATTGCACCTTTAAAAAACATTAAAGGAAGAGAAGTAGAACCTAGTGTAAAAACAAGAAATACTCCTTTATATATTGCAAATGTCAGGATAACACTTTCAGGCAACCCTTTATTCAGTCTTGGACAGGGATGGGATACAGCTTACAGCAGCTGTATCAAACCATTTTCAATGTCATACAAGAAAGGGCCTTTTATTAGAAATTTCTTATAAAATAAGAGTAAGAATAAAAGAATAGCAGGCATCACAACAACTACAATTCAACTGAGACAATAACCTGATGAAGTTGCATAGCTGTCTTACCCTCTTAGAAGATTTCTACCCTGACCCTTGCAGAGTTGGACAGCCTGTGTTTTGGACAGACTTCATGCAAAAGACCATTTAAGGCATTCACAGACACCTTCAAGCCAGCACAGACAAGGAAGACAATGCAGAAGTCTGGTTAATCAGCCCACACAGAGCACTTTATGTGAACTCTCGGTTTCCAGGACAGTTTGGATAATTGAATGCTCCTAAAATCTACACTTTGAAAGGCTCAAAGAGACTATTAAAAGGAGCAAGAATGTAATGGAACCAGTATATACAATGTGATTGCCATGGCAGATGATGGAGCTGCCCTCAAAAGCTGCATCAAATCAGTGATATTCAGAAAATTAATCAAGTCTTCTCTCTATCTCTTTTTTGAGTATTTTAGTAAGACTTTGTGTTGACTAAAAATTGGCACAGACCTCTACCTTCTTAAATTCAGGGACCAGAAGGGAAGAAAAAGCCATAAAAGTTATAAATTTACAAGAAACACACAACTCAAAAGGAAGTTTCCCTTGAGGTAGGACTGGTTTACAGTGATGAGATCTCCCCTGCCATTAACTGAAATTGCTTCTCTGAGAGTTTCTCAAAGTCAGGGGAAATGGACTGAAAACCTGAAAATTCACACACTTGCAGAACACTATGTTAGGACATGTACAGATAAAGTTTTTAGAAACAGAATGAGGAAAATAAATCACAAAGGTTTATGAAGACAGTTCCCTGCCCTTTCACAGGCTTGAGAGGCAGATAAAAATTATTGTGAAAAAGAAGAAAGAAGGGGATGGAGGTAAAATTATTTTACCAATGCCACTAGACACAATCAGTAGCAACGCTGGCAATATAGCCAGAAGTCCAACCTGGCAGTCTCCTGCTCCTATAGATCATCCATGTTCTCCACAGACTGTGTCTCATTTGCTGTGATTTTTTCAAGATGAACGATATCATTGTGATCCACTACCGACTTCTGTGAGAAATCTATCTGAAATCTGTCAGCAAGCTTTACATACTTATTTATTAGTAAATTAATATTTATATAAAAATTAATGTTTATTAAAATTTAATCACTTACTCTCCCTCCCTTTCCTTTCAGAAAAATCCATTTTCTTCTTAATTACAGATTTTACTCAAATCTTAGACCTGATAAATACAGTGTGCCATGTACCCTACCTTCTGCTCTTTAAGATTATTTTCTATTTTCAGTTGTTCCTCTTTGTCATTCTCTATTTGTTGCTGCAACTTCTGGACCTCAGCTTGCTTCTTATCCATTTCAGCTAGAAGATTTTTCAGATCAGTCTCCATTTTTTCCTTCTTTCGTGCCTCTCGTAATTCCTCGCTTTGATGCAGCTGGATGTCTTGCTGAAGCTATAATAATAGAGAAAAAAACAATTTTAAATTCTGCTGCCTTTTACTCAGGAAACAAGTCCTCTCACCTCTCTGATTCTGTTTGACTTTAAAAACAAGAGCTTCTATATTACTGCAACGATCATTGTATGCCAGATCTTCTCAGAAGTAATTGTTTTCTAATGGTTGAACAAAAAATTCTGGATGTGGGCCCTATTATTGATGACAAAAATTTGTTAAACACCAGTCAGTTCACCCAGACAGAAGGGTCTGATACAGTCCAAACATAAAAGCATTCATCTGGAGAAGCAGTGGCATAAATATCTTTACTGTTATAAGTTACTTGCAAAGTGGTACTTTCTGAATGCAGCATCAAAATTAATTGGGGCTTGATGCTGTATTGCAAGGATTTTTCTTTTTATTATTCTCTCTGACTAGCAGAAACACTTATTACATTGATGTTAAAGGAAATAGAGAGATGTCAGACCAGTGTTCATTTTCCCAACTGGTCTCAATCTTTCTACTCTCAAAGTTCCTATGTGGGAAATCTGAAAGAGGAAATTTTTCTCATATTTAATAGACTGTCTTGTGACTCCTGCTCTCTCCCTTCACAAAAATTTGATGGAGCAGAATCAGCAGAGAGGAGTCACAGGGGGCTGATCCATATGGAAATATTCGGTTCAGCCAGGGACCAGCAATTGAAAGATGTTCTTTGCTTAAGGATTCCTCCCCCTCTGAGTCCACAGATGAAAAGTTGCCAGAACTAACAGCTTCTTCAACAGGATCTTCAAAGAGACATTGTCATTTAAGCAGTCTGAAGTGGAGAATAATTCCATACTGGAAGAATGGGAGGTGATTACAAATGCTGTAACAATTCTGTAAATTTAAGGGTTGATGAAGTGAGTATCAGAAGATTAAGGCTGCCAAGATTCAACAAGTTTTTACTCTTTTCTCTCATGCCCACAATGCTGTCAGAAAAACAAAGATTTTATATTCTCTTCTTGTACATTACCATCATCTGCTTTATAAATAGAAACAATTTCTGTGCATGAAACCTAGACTGATCATTACTTTCCTATTTGTGATTTATAAAAAATTGAAAGCTAAATGCTCATTCTACCTTTTCTCTGTTCTTTGTTTAAGTGTGATTTTCTACTCTTCCTTTCTCCAGGTGTCTTGCTCCACCCCTATTTATATTCTGCTTTAATTCTTTCATTTCTCATTATCATGCTTATATATTTGATATATCAGAGTTCTGTATGCCATCTTCCATCTTTTTCCACCTGCCATTCAGTGGCTATTCCACTGATCCTCAGTCTTCTTATCTCTAGCTGCTCTACACATTTCAAGAAATCCATACATATTGATCACAATATGTGATCTCAAATGGTCAGAAAAATAGAAAGCCTAACTTCATGTAAAGCTGAGATGGAGTATGACTGCTCTCTACAGACAATTGTGTTGTGAAAAATTTAAGTGGAAAACCAGTAATCCAGAATCAGAGTAAAGGAGAAAGTAGGAGGTACCTAATGATGAAAAAAGCAAAAATCTGGAAAAAGCTTCCCATAAAGGAGAGAAAATAACTTCATTATTTTTAATACAGATTTTGACACATTCTTAAGAATGATGGTATCTCATAATATGGCAACCACTGCCAACAGCAAGGGACCAAGAATCCCTATTCCAGGTCCATGTTCTAAGTGTCTCTTTTGAGGCATAAGGATTTAAAATACAGAAAACATCCCATTTCTTCAGCATTAAAGATTATCACAATTCACAAAAAAACAACCTTGGCCTCACTGGGGTATTGGGAAGCTGTGGAAGCAGCTGATACATGACAATACACTTTGCAAAGTACATAGCCTAAAACTACAGAAAAATATAAAAGTCATTCACAGCAGAGTCCACTCAGAGCACTCCTGAAAAGATGCAAAAGAACAGGTGGTAGTGTCCCAGTCACTGGAGATCAATTCCAAGGGTGGAGAAAGGCTCAGGACAAAGCCTAAAATCACCATCTGGTGGTCAGCACAAACCTGCAAAACAGATTGCTCTGCTTCATTTTTTGCCTTTTCTGTTTCCTGCTGCTGCTCTGTGATTTCAGTGAGACTTTGACGTAACTTCACAACTTCTGACAACAGTTGGTCTCGCTCTTCTGTTACCTCTTCTTGAAGTCTTAGCAAATCCTCAACACTGGAAGCAAGGAAATAATAGTCAAGCAGTGTCACAGGCCATTTCTGTTCTTCCTCCTATGCCAGACAAAGACTTTTATGAGAAAGAGGAGTTTAATTTTTTTTTTTTTTTATTTCAAACTCCTCTGTATGAAGACTGATGGTCAATTGAATTATATGCTTTATCTGCTGTGAGCAGTCACCATCAGCCAAGTCAAAACTCTTTCTTGTTGTCTCACATCCTCATGAGTCTGAATAAACCTTCCATTCCCCAGGTAACAGGGGAAAAAAATTTCCTCTTCTATTCCCACTGCAAAATTAGTCAGGGACTAATTTTAGTTTTAATATAACTAAAAATGTTATACTGTTGTAACCTGTCTCTCTGCACCTCACCTGACTGGACACCTGACTAGGGTATGTCTTACAGTCACATCATGTAAAAATAAAAACTGACTCTGTTTTGACACATTTCCAATATGAAAGGAAGTCCAAGCTGTGGGTTCAAGCTCAGTCTTAAAAAGCAATCTAATTTTTCTAAAAGATTATTGGGTTTTCAAAGCTGAAATCTGCAAAGGAGTTACTTTATCTAATGGCCTTGTCACTGGACAGGGTATTTAAGCACAGAACTGGAGGGCAATACAGAGGGAACTTCAAGAAGAAATTGTAAGCTGGCAGCAGCCTGGGCAGAGCTGGAAACAGGAGTGAGGTGTCAGCAAAGTAACAGCTCCTGGCTCTTGCTGGAAAATGCAAAAAGCAGCTAAAGAGAGATGACTTTAAGGAGTTATACTAAGGGGAGACTGAATGACCAAGGTTTTAGATCCAAGGAAAGCTGTTAAACAGATCCAGAAGATGTCAGAGACAAAAGGTGAAGGAGTAGATTTGTCATGGACCCAGGTGGTTTATGTGCTGGCACATTTCTTGGAGGGGGAAGTGCCTGAGCACACTGAAGGCCTCCTGTTTTTGCAGCCTGGATACACAGAGAGTGCAGAGACAAGCATGTTCCATACATATCCTGCATGCATATTATAAATAAATACCTTAAACAGTGTGAAAATTTTAAGCCATAATCAGGCAGGCCAATCACCAGCAATTTCAGTAGAAAGTGCACAGGCCATGGGGTCAATACACTTAATCTTATCTTTGAGTTTAACTTCATGTTACAGCATAAGCAGTCTCTGAAGACCTGATACTACAAACAGTAGGCTCTGGACAGCTTCTGAGCAGCTCCAGAGCATGATTATTATGTGCACAATGCAGTGGCTTAGAGGCTCCATCTCAGGCTAGGTCCATCTATGTGTTTGGTTAAAAAAACCGAAACATAATCTTGAAAGTGTATAAAACACAAATAAGAACACAGACAGTGTTAGAGCCTTATAACAAAGCTGGAACAGAAGAGAAATCAAGTGTCCTGCCTTCCTGATTTATCTACTTGCCCTTGCTGCTGTGAAATGTAAAAATGTTGACAGGATCCTATTCTCAAAGTATGCTGAAGAGTTTGTCAGATAAAACAATATGACACATACTGAGAAAGTGCATAGTATTCATTTTATTTGATCTTTCAGCTTAATCCAATACTGAATGAACTCAGTCAGAGCCTGATTCTGTACTTGCTCACTGCATAAACACACAAATAAATGTGTACTCATGAGAAAAGTAAAAGACAGAAAAGATCTATGTTTTCCACTGTGTCTACATGGCTAAACAAGGTATAGAATTATAGAAAATCAGACCAGGCTTTCCCTCTCCCTGAGGAAAACTTACTTGTACTCCTGTCCAGCTCTTTCCTTCATTAAATTATTTAGGCGTGAAATTTCCTTTTGCAGTGAATCAATTGTTTCCTTCGTTTTCTGTTCCCTTTCATAGACTTTATCCACCATTTTCCAGGCCTTTTCAAGCTCCTAGGAATGAAATGGAAAATAATTAAATAAATTAAATTGTGTTTAAAAATAACCACAAATTAGAAATTAATTGCCTTGCACTTTACTTAGTTGAAAAAATAGATTTTTGTGCCTTTTCATGATTAGGTTCACAACAGTCCCCTTCTGTTGGTATCTTTTGTTTTGGCTGAGGGCATGGACTCTCTGAGGCTTTGATCACGTGAGTACCACCAATATCAGTAAAAATTTACTGACAATTCAGTGCCCACAAAGCTATCATCTACTTAAATACCTTATGTCTGTAAATTCCTATTAGGACAATGAGAATCCAATTTGATTTGGATGAGAAAAAGATGTTACTCAACTTTTCTTCCTCTTCGTTCATTTTCATCTGTGAGGACTTAGTGTAATTTGATTTTAACTAGTTTTTTAGACAAGGCACTTTTCTTATGCCAAATTTTAACACATGGAGTTACTTAAATGACAGATTTGTGTGCCTCTCACAAGCTTAGGGTTTGACACCCACAAAGAGGATAGGAGAGGAGGATTCATTTCATTGTATAACTTCCTCTGCATCTCTCTCCCTTGAATCAGATCCCTAAGAATCAAAAAAAAAAAAAAAAAAAAAAAAATCTTATTCCTTGCCAGGTTCAAATGAAGCTCATACCATTTCTGGAATCCTGTGCTAAAAGAAATGCAGAAATTCAGCAAGTGACTGGATGGGAAAGAAAGTTCCTGAAGTCACAGTAAATCATGAAGATACTACTTTTACACTAGACGTCCCTGAGCTTCAAATCACAGCATGATGCTCTTTCCTCAGCTGGCTCCTGGCAGACTTCTGGACTTCATGATCTTGTACAGATTTAGACCCCAAGTGTGGCTGTGCAGTTCTACATTAGCTCTAGGGTCTCCCCAAGGAAAGCCAAATAGAAGCATCATTATATCAGGCCATAAAATCCCTTTCAACTCCTACTTGCATCATATGAAATTGAGGCAGGAGAAAAATACTTTAGAAAAATTTTAGAAACCATCTCCACAAGGAAGAAAATAAAATAATTTATATCAAATTGTTTACAGAAATTCTTTATTTTAATTGACATTTCTGTTTTCTAAAACAAAAACCCTATTTAATGTTAAACTCTAAATTATGACACCTATGTTATGTTATATTGTTAATATACTTATGGAACCCTTAAAAATCAAATATATGTAATATTTAGCTATTTACTGCCTAAATTAAAAACTCAAACTATAGAACTAGCAGAAGTAACAGGCTACAAGATTTTGCTGAAAGATAACACAAAGTATAACATCTGTAGCCTCTTCAAACTGCAGAGGGAATACATTTCCATTTTATTTATTCAACTAGCTCAGCATATCCAAATTTGAGAAACCATCTGGAACATAAAGATGAGGAATCTTTCCTCTTCCTTTTTTTCCACACATACTAATAAAGAGGTAAACAATGAGCTTTCCTTGCTCAGAAATTCTGAAATTACAGTCAATTAAACTCACTACCTACAAACAGTATTTTCATTACTTAATAAATTACTTAGCCTGAAAATTTAGCCTGAAAATGTGCTTTTTCACTTCTGTATCAAGCATTTCTAAACAATTTTATATATAAAATCAATTTTTATGTCATACATTTTGAGTTCTAATTTCCATTCAATGCAGCAATGATCACACATAAAGCATTAAGTATTATCTAATAAATTATAAGTTTTTCATTCATTAATATCTTACACACAATGCTAAATTCTGAAATTTAAATAAGTGCATGTTGGGCTGAAATAATGGCACAAAGACACAGTGTATCATATTGACTGGCAGAAAAGCATAAAACATAACTGTAAATAAACATGTTTCAGATTTGTCAACCAGTAAGAGTCAACCACCCTTTCTCTAGAAAAATGTAAATTGAAAATAAGATTAAAGCTGATTACTTACATCAGAGCTGCCTGCTGGCTGATTAGACTCTGATTAAAATTGGTGAATTAAATCATTACGATTGGAGTTTTGGGGAATAGAACTGGGGAATAAAATCAATTAGCCTCTGAAAGGTTTTAGTGGCTTCAGAGAGTCTTCTGTTCTGATGAGTATTTGCAAAAGTGATCTACTCAAGTCAGGGAGGCCATTCAGATAAGCACTGATTTAAGGTCACTCTAAGCTGTGCTTTTTGAACTTTATCTTTGGCCTGTAAAAACTATTATATTGAATTTGTATTGATAATAACAATTTTTATCAATAAAGTAAGAAGACACGGGTGATGGCAACACTAATAAGCAAAATCTAAATAAGAATTTTCTACAGACTTCAGCATCAGCAAAACTGAGATTCATTGTAGTTGCTCCTTGGTTGTGTCTTCTGCTGTAAGAGCAGATCAATAGATCTGTTATTTTCAGCAGTAAAAAGGAGTAAAATTTTGATGATGGAAGTCTTCATAGAAGAAATATTCACGTTGTTATTCAGTGTGAAAGATTGCAGTATGCCAGTAACACAGGGTAATTGCAGTACAAGATAGGTAGGTAATGCATGGCAGTCTGCTGCATAATTAAAGGAAGTACCCTGGATGTTTGCTGTTAGAATAATTCAAAAATCTTTGGAGAAGTACTGAACACTGGAACTTGTGAAGCAGGACTTATGAAGTGTGACTGCTTTACTTTGCTTTCATTAAATACCCCAAAAGATCACATCAGTTTCATTGCTCAGAAACTGAGAATTAATGAAACGTTTTCTTATTATATTGGATTGATACGCCTGGAAATTGAAAATTTGGTAATTCCAAGCAGGGCAGTACAAGCTCCTACAAATTCCTCTTCTAGCATTCTTCCAGTGCAGACTCATGGATCAGTGCCCTAGCCATGAAAAATAGAATTGTATTCCCTTCATGATTAGCTTGGCCCTTTGCTCCTTTGATATTACTGTAAACAGCAGATTGTTATGTCCAGTTTATTAAAACTACAAAACAGATCATTTAACTGCCACCTGACAGTTAACAGCTATTGATTATCACTGACCCACCTCCTACCAGCCACTGATCTGTGTGCTTAACCCCTGCCCTAAACAAACCCTACTGATTACAAACAGGCTTCACATGGAGAAAAATTTTTCTTCTGCAACTTTTATTTCTTACCCTAATGACCCATCAAGTCACCAAGATGTAGGGCTTTAATTTGGAGCAACTATTCCATTTTTACAGCAACTGTTCAATTTTTACAAGAACAGCCCCATCAGGATTCTTTTATGGTTTATAAATAACTAAATTGTAGGACAGATTGTTTGTTGAATTTAGCACTGAAGAATATAATCTTGGCTACTTTAGCACTTGAACTTCCTTCAACACTTAGCTTGGATACATGAGAACCATATTGCTTGAATGATAACAAAATTGCAGTGAAATACTACAACTCTTACAGAACTTTCCTTCAGAAAGAAGAATAATACGGAACATAAAGGGTTTATCAAGCAAAACCTCAAAAAAGACATGAACATTTTAAACAATACCAAAATAATTCCTGAACCTTTAAGAGGACTAATTCTTATAACCAACTGAAAAAGTATCAGCTGCATACTTGACTCACAACACAGCCCTAGAAATGAAACATTCCATGTTGTGCATTGCACATTTCTTCTTGCAGGATCATACTGTAAAGCAGCTTTTTCACTAGAAAATCACTTAATGGGTTCAATAGTAGGCGGTATGGTTCAGTCATATCCTGCTTGAGCTTCAAATTAGCTGCTGAAATTGGAAAGGCTCTTGTTTTCCCAATATTTCCACTCCTTAGGTTTATGATGTTACCAAGACGTCTCCTCAGTTTGGGAACGTCTTGAAGGATCACCTCTCCTAATGTTCACACACAGAGTATTGCCATGTGATAGCAAAAAGGAAATTGTAAGGATCATCATGGTTCCTGATGTTCATCTACCAGGTTTTGATTAGCAGCAGTGAAAATCAACACGATTTTCCACACTTTTCCTCCTCCTTGAAGAGGCTTTGGGCAGCACCACGTGTTTGCAAGCTGTGGCCATAGGATGACAGTGCTGCTATTTATATTTACTCTGAATGTATTTTCTTCATAATTCTAAGGACAAGAAACTCCATTTCAAAGAACTTCTATTTCTGTAGTGCTCAAAAATCACTTTGGATTGCTACACTGACTTAATTTTACTAGAACAAACCACTTTATTGTAAGGCATGGAGGTTTCCCAAATAAGTGCTAAATTAAAGCCTATCTAGGTATCACAAAGCTAAGTTTTTAAACCATCAGAATGAAGAAGTTCCACACACAGTCTTATAATCACTTGGCAGCTTTAGGTTTCTGACAGTGAAAATTCACTGTAAGCCTAAAAACATCAACTGTTTTTAGTGAGCCAAGCACTTTGATTTGACAGAGTTTAAATCAATAATAACAAACAACACATCAGAGTAAATTGGTGAAATCACACTGAAATGCTATATAGGATTCCTTTTCAAAAGCACTGTGAAACATTTATTTATATAAGTTGTCACTTCCCTGGCCTAAAATCCATACTTCAAAAAAAAATAGATTTTTTTTAATGTTCTGGCAATAGTTAATATCCAAGCAATCCTTCAAAAGATATAATGAATCAAAAACAGTACATTAAGTTGAAAATGTGCCATTTTACAGAGGGAATGCTTAAACAAAAACTATTAGTAAGTACTTGAAAGCTGGCAGAGTTGGTTTAATGCAAACAAACACAGAAATTGACTGAAACCTGTAAATATACCAGACTGAGCAAACAAAGCAAAGCAGAGGTTAAACAACTGGAGATGCCAGCTCTATGCTTAATCCTCCAGCTAGTTCTCTACATAAAATCAAGTGTTCTTGCAGGAGCTTTTCTTATTACCATGTTTTTCATTAACAATTCCAGATCATACTTCATTCTATTTAAAACTTTACCGACTTCAATGATGATATAGTTTCCCCATCATCATGAGTGAGTTTGGTAAGCACAGCTACTTTGGATGACTTTTCCACAAGCTCAGCACTCAGCTTCCTGCATTTCTCCATGAGATGTTTTTCATTTTCACGAGACTTCTTCATAATAGCAAGAAGCTTCTCATATTCGACACGGAATTTTTCCAGAGCTTCATCTCTACTCAATATACTGATGAATTCTTGGGAGTCCTTTTCCAGTGCTTCAAAGGCACTTTCTTCTAGATATGGTTTGTCAGACTCTTCCTGAGTGAAATAATCAACAAACAGGAAGAATTCAACATCTCACTTATGACCCCAGAATACAAAAAAAGTAATATATTGAGCGTATCACAGCTACTAAGAAAGCATGACAAAATTTTCTGTAATAACAGTTCTTTTGCTAGCATATAATATGTATGTTGTAGGCTATTTTTCAAACACATCTCCCCCAATTTTACTGAAATAACTTGTGCTTTACCAGCCAGAGTTCTTATAATTAAGTCCCACAACTGCTTTAAAGACAAGTCTATAAAATACCATCATTGTGATAGTGTTTGAATAATTCATCAACCACTGAGGAAACCCAGTATCTTAACCCTAATTCTGCCTAGTTCTCTACCCTCTAAAGTCTGATTAGTTTATGATTTCTATCCAGATAGTGCCAGAGACATGCAGACAAGCACATCTCAAAGCTCCAGTAATGCCAACACAATTCAGTCTTTCCTCTGTGGGAAATGCTACAGTTAAGCCTTACACAGAAGACATTTTTCAGCTAGCTCAGTTCTGATGCCAAATCCTTGCAAATGCACCTCTGAGGTGGTCCCACTAGGATAGGGAAGCAGCATTCCTGTCAGCAGGAAAACCTCAAGGGTAACTTTAACGCTGAGCCCATGCTCTGGCCAGCATCAAAGAACACTCTGAGCTATGAGCTGTAAGCTGAAACTTAATGCATCCCTCCTTCAAACCTGCTCTGGGACTTTCTTCTCATTTAATCCTCCTCTCCAAGCCACAGAATCACAAAATGGTTTGGGTTGGAAGGGACCTTAAAGATCATCTTATTCCAGTTCTCTGCCATGGACCTTCCACTAGACCATGTTGCTCAGAGCTCCATCCTACCTGGCCTTGAACACTTCCAGGGATGGACCATCTGCAAATTCTCTGGGCAACCTGTGCCAGCTTCTCACCACCCTCACAGTAAAGAATTGTCTCCTAATGTCTAATCTAATCTAAACCTACTCTCAGTGTGAATCTGCTCCCCTCTGTCCTGTCCCCACTACATGCTCTTGTGAAAAGTCCCTCTCCAGCTCTCTTGTAGGCTCCCTTCAGGTACTTCAGTCTTGATCTTGTTCATGTTTGTGACTGTAGAGTTAAAAGACGAGCAGCGAGGAGGGGGAGGCAGGGCAGGAATCACACCCACGATCTTATATGTAGCAGCTGCTCCTAAAATTTAAGAGTTACTACTGCCTGGGTACAAGTAGCTGATCGCTCCTACTTTCAGCACAGGACCTAACTAAGCTCTGCTCACACAGTGACACATAAACACGGAATATGGCTACAGATGATACACAGCTGATGTTGTCGGGCTTATCCTGAGGTGCAGCCTTCGTCCTGTCCAGGGGACAGGAAGGAAGGGTGGGGCAGGTGACGGGTTACCTCAGCCATGCTGCCGTCGGGTGGAGGTGGCGGGCGCGGTGCAGCGGGTCGGCGTCAGTGCCGGTGTCGGCACGGGCGGCGGTGCCGGCGGCGGTGGCGGTGCCGCGGGCAGGGGCGGTGCCGGTGCCGGTGCCGGTGCCGGTGCCGGGCGGTGGCGGAGGCGGCCCGGGCCCGCGGCGGTGCCGAGGCCGCTGCTCGCAGCCAGCGCCGCTGTGGTATCGTAGCAACGGCGGCGGCTGCGGGCGGGGCCGCGCTGGGCCCGGGGCCACCGTCAGCCACGGGCCGGCGGCGGCCGCGTACAGGGATGGCCCCGCTGGCGAAGGGTGACTTGTCCTGCAGCAACTGTGTGTCCGTCTTGCTGCTGAAGTTCGGCCGTCGGGGATTTTAACCAAGGACACCGAGGAATGTTTCCCCTCTGGCCCAAAAGGCTCCCGGAGCAGAGCAGCCGAGCGCGGCCGGCAGGGTGGGCCAGCTCAGTCACAGGATTGTTAGGGTTGGACGGACCTCCGGTATCATCCCGTCCAACCGCCCTGCCAAGGCAGGGTCCCACCCACACAGGAATGTCTCCAGGTGGGTTTTGATGATTCCACCGAGGGAGATCTCACTCACGACCTCCCTGGGCAGCCTGTTCCAGTGCTTTGCCACTCTCAATGTAAAGAATTTCTTCCTCATTAAGTGGAATGTCTTGTAGTTTAGTTTATGGCCGTTGCTCCTTGTCCTGTTGCTGGCCTCCACTGAACAGAGCCTGGCACCATGCCCTTGGCACCTGCCTTTGAGACATTTATACGCATTGATGAGATCCCTCTCAGTCTTCTCTGTTCTGTCAGGCTGAACAGGCCCAGCTCCTGCAGTCTCTCATCATTCAAAAGATGCTCCACACCCATCATCATCTTCATGGCCTCCACTGGACCCTTTCCAGCGCTCCTTGTCTTTCTTGTACAGAGTCCACTCAAGGCATATCCCATGGAAGGCAATAAACAGGGATTTGTGCAGTTTGGGAGTACAAATCATAGAACCACAGAATACACTGGGTAGGAAGGGACCTTAAAGATCATCTCATTTCAACCCCATTGCCACAGGCAAGGACACCTTCCACTATCCCAGGTTGTTCAGAGCTCCATCCAGCCCGGGATGGAACACTTCCAGGGATGGGGCATCCACAGCTTCTCTAGGCAACCTATTCCAGTGCCTCATCACCCTCACAGTGAAGAATTTCTTCCTAAAATCTGATCTAAACCTACCTTCTTTCAGCTTAAGGCCAGTTCCTCTTGTCCTGTCACTACATGCCAGATGGTATTTGGAGCCTGACTTCTGCCAGGCTGGCAGAATATCATTGTACCCAGCTATTCACAGTAGCCTGTCTGTGCATGTGGATGCTCTGGCACAATCCATGGCGCAGGAAAAGGGGAGGCAGTGGTGGCTCAAGGATCAGCTGCTACTGTTCTCTCCACTCCCAGCTAACCCCTGAAATGGTGGGGTTTATCTCTCTAAGCACACAAATTTTTCCATCTGATAGCATTTTAGGGCAGGGAATGTACTGTACCATGTATACACTCCCTAGCAGCATGCATGTTGGTTAGGACCTTAAAGTACCACTTAAAACAAATACTGATGACAGAAAACTTTTTCTCTTGCTGGCTTAATGAAGCCTGAATTGTAGCACTTTATTTTACTGATTACGTGGCAAAATAGGCAGTTTCAAATGGATGCTTTCAAATGGCCTGATTTTACCACTAGAACTGGAGAATAATACACATTTTATAATGTATTCTTTTTATGTGTGACTTAATTTACAAAATACCCTATACACTGAAACATTCAATCATTTCAATGCACACTTCTAATAAAAAAAAAATCACTAAAGTTCCTTTTCTAAGTTTTGTACTCCCCTTTTTCCTCATTTTCTTTTGTACTGATGTTTCTTACATAATAAGATTACAAGGAAGATGATTATGATAAATTCCTTGATTCTAGGATTTCAGTTCTGAAGAGGACCAAACTTCTAGACCTTCAACATAAAACAACTGCACATGTAATGAAATATCAAATGATACAATTTTAATTTTGTGAGCAAAATACTGCTGGAGGAAGGGGACATGCTCAGAATTTTAAAAAACAATATTATATGATGAACAAAAAAAGGCCCTCCAATTTACATCTCAAATATATAACTTTGATATTTTTAATACTGTTTCTTATCTCTTTAAAAGCAAATCAGGAGTGGAAGGGAGATAGTCAGCCTTGGGCTTCAGGTTCATATTTGTGCTTGAAGGAAACAGCATAAATGTGTTTAAAAATTATACCCATTTATTAAGACATTTCCATGAGCTTCCTGGCCTGGTTGAAAATGTCCCTGTTCACTGCATAGGCTTGGATCTTTAAAGGCCCCTCCCAACCCAAACTATTCTGTGATTCTATTCATATGTTTTTCAAACCCCTCATGATCTGTGTCCTCTGAGACTGTGTAAGTGTGATTGTATAGGCTGGTCTTCATGACAACTTCCATTTGAGCTAAATTCACCCAAATTCTGCAAGTTCACCCTTGTGGCAGCCACATCTCTAACTGTAGTGCAGGCATAGTGGGGTGAGTGTTAGGAGTCCATGGTAGCTCATGCAAAAGCCCATTTTATTTTAAAGCCTTAAAACATCACAAGTCATAGCACATAAGTGCAACCAGGACACAAATCTGTGTGACTGTGAAGACCCAAATATTCACATTTAATTAATTCTGCAACAAATTATATTAACAACGAGAGAATGCCTCAACAGCTTCATAAACATGGAGCTGCACTGACACTCAAGAGGACACCTGGGTTTCTGACCTTAGCAAGAATTTACTTTAGCTGAGGACGAGCCACCTAAAATTCGGTGCTCGAGATTCATCAGTGAAGTGTAAATAACCACATCTGCTCTCCTGCAATTTGCTGTGACTGTCATGGCTATAAATGATGCAATCATGTCATGGAGAGAACCTCTGGACAAGGTGGAGCTCTTCAAGTGGGATCACGTTTTAACTCTCCCTTTTAAGATGAGCATATGTCCCCCTCTGCAAAAACCTTTCTGCTAATAAGAGCAAAAAACTCCAATGGCCGCAGAAGAAAAAATACCTTAAATAAAAACAAACAAATCTCCATTAATAGCAAGGACAAGACAGACCTAGAAAGTTTCAGTTCATTGAAAAAATTGTTATTTATTTCCCTGAATGTCTTCGTTCAAGAGGCACATGCACTTTATGGTAAATAAGAAGAATCACTTGTCTCACCAGCTGCATAAAAGAGTTTTGCGTCAGTGGGGTGTGTTGGTGTGCATGCAGAAAGGGTTACTAGAGAAAAAATGTTTGCTCACTGATTTATTTGAGGTCACAACCCTTGTGCAGTTAATTTAAGGCACGTTTTAAACTGTAGTAGCATGAAAATGATAAGCCATTACTTCCTGAATGTAAGGATTTATGGGCTGTTGCAGAGATATAAATAATAAAGTAAAATCTCATCATAAGATGACCCAGGAGTATGTAAGCCATTTGGGGCAGGGACCATGACAGTACGTGTCTTCTGGAAAGTGCAAAAGGAGCCTTGTAAGGAGAGGATGAAGCGCTGAAGGAAGGCGCGGGGCTGCGGTGGTTCCTCCCAGCCCCGCTGCTGTCGGGAGGCGGCAGCACCGCACCGCGGCCGTGGCCGCTGAGCTGACCCGCACCGCTCCCCACCCCAGACCGGGCTACAAACATCCCGAAATGCCGGGGATGGAATGCGGGGTGAGCACGTGATCGCGCATGAGGCTCTGCATTTCAATTCGGGTTTGCTCCGTTTACTCAGATAAACATCATCAATGGAAAATTACCATTAAGGAAAGCAAAAGTTATCTACCGATTTGCTAATACTGAGTTATTGTTTGACGTTCATTACAAATATGTTATATAAATATTACTTAATCTAACTGCAAGTCTTGTAATTTCCCCAGCAGGATGGAAATCTAGCAGAGCCTCATGGCCCCAAAGAGCAGAGATGCTTCAGGCTCTGTCAGTGGGCTGACATCCTGGGACATACCCTGCAAACCAGATTACCTTCTCTGAGTTACATCAGTCTTGCAGTGTTAAAAGGAACAAAAGCTTACTGAAAATGCTCCTTTTTCTCCAGTGACAAGGAAATGCTATATAGTTCTCAATTACTTCATTATCTAACGGATATTTTTACTATATTCTTTTTTAATGTCCTCTCCACCTGTTATTTTCAAATTTAATGATAGTTTTATAACAAGAACGGTTGTTCAGTTTAAATTGGATTGAGACTTTCTACTTTGTTCATAAAGATAATGCAACAGATCTCAAATAACAGTAACCTTTGATCATGTTTGGCACTAGAGTTGAGCTAATGATCTCAAGAGAGGAAACATTACCGTTTTCATATGAAGTTAAATCATGGCAATGTTTCAATTAATAGAAACACCCAAATAAAGACCTTGGCTAGTTCTGAGAAGCTAAAGCTGACAAGTGGTCTGTGTATAATGTACAATTACATGTTCTACATAAAAAATAGATGAGAATAAAATTAATTCAATAATCCTGAAACTAAGTCGAACTTGCTATTCCCCAGTATGGTTTGAAACTACAGAACAGTTTTCCATCCCAGTTTTTCCTGCCAGTTCTGAAACTGGGATCACTGTGGCGTGTTAGAAAATTCCTCTCTGTTACCCTCCTGCAAGCTAAACACAGGAATTCTCCAAGACTGCTGGAAGTCTGCAGATCCCCATGACCATCACTGTTCACTCTGGGCTCCTACCATCACCAGTGTTATGGTTTATGCTATGAGTCTGGCCTTCAGCTTTAGAGAGTGAGATGGGGGGACTTTTCTTCCTGTACATGAAGGAATGGTCTGATAGAAGTAACCCCTCCTATCCTGTTGCCCAGTATCTTTAATCACTGGAGAGGCTATAAAGGAAAGCCTACAAGGCTTTTAAATACACTTGGCCCTGGAGAGCTCTTAGGTTTCTTCAATCAATGATTTCCATTACCTGCTTACCAGTTCTGAGCCATGGCTGTCTTCCCAATCAGGA